CACGGGTACAAAGTTCCTGGGAAGGAAACGTTACAGATCACAGCTCTTTTGCCTTTTCAGAGAATTACCAGGTTGTGCCCAGTGACTGTCACTTACCCTCTTCACATACCAAACTGCACCGAGGAGGCCTGTGAGTTCCTGCCCTCCTCATGCCACCTGCGGGCGTTCGGTATGGATTCAGCCTCTGTTGACTGGCCCCATTTCAGAGACATTTTTTATTGGGTGCATTTATCCTGAGTGTAAATTGGGTGACATTGTAAATTATCATACAGTACACTTGATGTTGGAGGAGGGTGGTACAAATCCATGGAACTTAACATGTGGATTGTAACCACCACCCAAATCAGGATTCCGAACAGTCCCATCACCCCCTAACTCCCTTCTACTAATCCCTTTGTAGTCACACCCACCCTCCACCTCCATCCCCACCCCCAGGCAACCAATAAGCTGTTCTCCATCCATTTGTCTTTTGGAAAATGTCATGTAAGTCTATTTATATAGTATACTAGAGGCCCAACGCACAAAATTCATTCAAGAGTAAGTCTTCCTTCCCCCGGTTGCCGGCACAGGCTCTGGCACCTGGACCCGGGCTTCCCTCCGGGCTCTGGCTTTGGGGAGAAGGTCATCCAGTCTCATTAGCATATTACACTTTTATTATTAAAGATTATTTATTAATCACTCATAACGTTTTACCAGGAGGAAGCACTGTTCTAAGTGTCACAACTTGACACGTGACTGTGCCATGTGCATGGAATGAGAGTAGGCCTTCCTTCCCCCAGCTGCCAGCACTCCGACTTTCCTCTGGCACCCGGGACCTGGGCTTTCCTCACAGCCCCAGCTTCATTGGGAAGGTCATCCAGTCTCATTAGCATATTACACTTTTATTATTAAAGATTATTTATTAATCACTCATAACGTTTTACCAGGAGGAAGCACTGTTCTAAGTGTCACAACTTGACACGTGACTGTGCCATGTGATCATGGAATGAAACACCAGTAGCATCATGCAGTGTAAGTGTATGTAACACGGTCTACTGGGGTGTGCTAACACACCAAGGAAGAGGTAGCTGAGCAGACTCAGCCCCCTGAACACACAGTGTCCCCTGAAAGTTGTGCGTGGGCCAGGCATAGCTTGATTGAATGCACTGCCCAGCCCCTCCTGTCCAGTAGAGAGCTCACATGGGGTTTCCTGCTTTCCATTTGGTTCTCATCAGAGTGACTTGGGAGTTGGGAATTCTCTGATCTGACCGAGGTCACCCAGAGACCCTCCAGAATGACATGTGGGCCTTTAAGCTGCAACAAAAGAGACATTTCAGATTCTCAGACACTTTTCTATCCCCCAGGCTGCCCCTGGGAACAGGTGTGGGACCAGATCTATGATGCCAGGGAGAACTGCCGTGTGGAAGAGACCTAGTGCTCTTTGTCCAGAGTCTCCGTGTGGATATAACTGCACCTACTGATCCTGTTTCCAGCTGTGCAGCCTCAAATCCTTTGGTTTCCTGGAGAAGATGAGTAAGATGACTTTGAGGAAAAGGTGCCAGGAGAGAAGTCTGACTGCTCCTCTGCTCCCGTCATGAAGGAATGCCTCCGGTAGGGCCTGCTGTGCTCCAGGCTGCAGAGAGTGTGAGGTGAGCAGGGGAAAGTTTAATGTCTGGGTCCTCCAGGCAGGGCATCCTGCTCTGTCCTCCATCTCTCCACCTCTTGTCCCAGATTCTCGTTCACCTGCTCTGCATCTATGTGTCCCTCAAGCCCAGTCTCACAAAGTCCGTCTGTCGTTCTAGTTGAAGAGAGACCTGCCAGAGGGACCAGAGCCCATGATTCCTGTAGCTGCCTTGAGAGGAGCCTGGGATCCGCCTGGCCCTGGGATACAGGGGTGGGGTGGGGTGCAGAATGCTCTGAAGGCTTTGGAGAACACAGCGCTGTTTGTCCCATCTCATCATGGTGTAATTCAAAATAAAGCAATACTGAATGCTAACGTTATGCTTAATTGAGTGCTCAATTAAAGAAGTGTGTTTTTGTTTGTTTTTTGGTCTGCAAGGTGTGGTGTAAGGTTATGAGACCTGACTTGTTTCCTTCTTTGCCCTCCTGCTGTGCTGGGACCTAAGCAAAGGTGTGGTGTGCATTTTAAGGTGGAGAGATTTGAAGCCTGATAGGAAGGTGATGGCATCCAGAGATAGAATGTCTCTGAGTAACTTCGCCTTCCATTCCTGGGTTGGCACTCTAGCTCACGGACTTCCTGCTGTGAAATTGTTTGGAAAGACTCCGGACAATTAGCATTAGATTCTTGTAATTGTAGCCTGAGCCAATGTGAGCCATAAAGAAAAAGAACTCCTGATGACTCAGGTATCTATCACCCTCTCCGCCTCAGGCCCATTTATTTGCAAGGCACCTCCATCCAAGGACTGGGACCTACATGTCTGTCTAACCCACTTCAGTTCCACCGAGACAAGTGGGTCCTCATGGCCAGGGATGATCTCACCGGTGACTAGGATGAGGGAACATATTTCCCCTCTGCTCTCAGATTCTGGCTGGAGGGACGTGTGGAGTCCCAGCTCCAGGTTGTAGGTGGGAAGTGGGAGAGCTGTCCAGTCAGCTCTGCTCAGATCAGGGGGTCAGGGGAAAGCCCCCTGGACTGAGAAGACCTGTTGCCATGGACTGTCCCCAGACAGAGGGGGCTTGGTGAGCTTCGTTCTGTGTGGGTCCAGAGGCAGGCCAGCCACCGCCAGTGCCAATGCCAACAACAAGAACTGCCGCCCTCCCCCCGACCTCTCTCCACCTGGACTCTCCGTTGCTGAGGAGTTTTGCTCTGTCTCTCTCCCTCTATGTGACTCTTCCCTCCTGTCACCCTTTCTTGATCTACCTTAGGTCTATCCCAATCTTCTGATATTGCTTAAAATAACAATACAGACAACAGGATATATTTTATTGAAAACTGTTTCATCTGTTGAGAACTAGAGATTACACAGTGAGAGTTGACAATATTTGTTACATCACTTCCTCTCCCCAATGGTAACTGTGTTTACAACACACTGCTTGCATTTTTCTATAAATATCATATATTTATAT